GAACACTGGCAGTTGTCACGGAGGGTGTGAACACTGGCAGTTGTCACGGATGATTGTGAACACATGTCACGTGGCAGTTGTCATAGGGGGTGTGAACACCTGAGCAGGGGGCGGTGGGTGGGGGCTCTCACCAGGGGGCCAACTATCCTGAAAATGCACTCAGCCCACCCACAAGGACATCCAGGTCTGGGGGAAGCCACCTGAGTGCCTCAGCCCAGGAAACACTGACCACGTTCCTGAAAGAACAATGCACGAAACATTTACAACTGTACTGAGAGGGTAGTTCGTACAATGCAACTTAAAATTCCAAGTTGCTATGAAAAGCCTTGAAGTAATGTGCGTGAGACACTGTATAACAACCCATGAAAATAAACTACACCATTTAAAACTTAACGAATGGATGCATATGCAAGAGTAAGATTAATTTTACACATCAGCATTTTTATATATTTCCTTCAGTTAAACAAATGAAAGCATTAGGATGGAATTGAGAATACCCATGTTTTGTTCAAGAACCGGATAGTCATTATTACCTTACTCAGACTCCAAGGTTGAAGCTCTGGTCAGACAGTTAATTTTATGGCCTGGAGCAGTTGTGCTTCTTGAAACTTTAAATAAAAATCAATTTGCTGCATGCTCGAAGGGCACTAATTTTGACTGGGGTCTAATGACACTTCAAGGCTGGGCGTGCCGTCCATAACGCGAAGAAAGCAGGCACTTTAGTGCCTCCTCGCCCAGGCCTGGAAGCCCCTCAGAAGGACGTGCTGTTTCCCAGAGCAGGCTGACATCGTGGGTCATCGTCACACCCCAAAGAGGGACCCCACAGCCGAGGGAGAGACACAGGGAAGTTGAGCAGGGCCTGCCGACAAAGGCTCTGGAGTTGGGCGGGAGTCCAGTGCAGAGCAAAGGCTTGTTGGGACTCTGCAGATGCACAGCAGGAGAGGCACGCCGCTCCGTGAGGCCAGATGGATGCAGCCCCAGCACTCGGAGGCGGGGTCAGCTGGCACAGCACCGACACCCTCAGAAGCGAACCTTCTCTGAGCTGCAGCAACTTAACGGGCTCTGGGTCCCAGCAGAATGTGTGGACGCTGAGACCACGAGGGCACACGCACCCTGGACACCCAAGGGGGGAGGGGGAACAATTGGGCACCTTCAGACACCTTTTCTGCAGCAATTGGGGGGGGGTGCACAGTGCCCCCGATGCCACCAGCATCTGTTCTTGGACAGATGCCCACCTGCTGGCCCATGGAACCCAGCTGCCGCATCTTGAGGGTGTTAGAAAATCGCCGTGACCCAGAGCAGGGGCAAGGAGGGAGGCCAAGCCAGAGAGCCCCCCAAGGCATGTGTACAGACAGTGTGGCCGGCATCTGCTGCCACCAGTGGTCAGTGTGTGGACCCGGCTGTGGTGGCCGAGTGCCATCACCAGTTAATGGGTACAGGCCCTGGGAATGTGAGGTGCCACAGTGGACAGCAGGGCCAGCGTGTGGGTCTGCACCCCCTGGAGACAAGCAGACACTGCCTGAGTCCGAATGAGGTCATGGCGTACAAACAACCTGATGTGAGTGCCGTGTGGGGACAGGCCAGCAGACACATGGTTGGTTAGATTGCCCCAAAACAACCACTGCTACAAAATTGTTCAAGACGACGATGCCCGTTTCTAGGTGTGCGGTGGTTTTAGGTACTTCCGAGGGCCTTGGTATTTCAGGCGAGTCTGAGTCCACAGGGCTCTTCGAGTTTCATCGACTGTCCCTGTGGATTTTGATACGAGGGGGACAGCTGATCCCACCGTCCAAGCTGCTTTCCTCCACTGCCCTCCCACTGACCCCCACTGTCCCTCCCCCAGTGACCCTCTCCCACTCATGGGCCCCCACTGAGCATCCTTCGGTGCCTGTCACCACTGACCCCAATACTGACCGTGCCCCCACTAACCACCCTGAGCAGGGGCCTCTCTGCCGTGCCCACTAACATTCGTCCTTGTCTGTGTGTCTGTCGCCCACAGAGCCCGGCGGCCACGTGGACGCGGACACGGCGCAGGCGGGTGCTCGGGGCTTCGCCGGCTGCCTGTCCTCCCTGCAGTTCGAGCGCGTGGCCCCGCTGAAGGCAGCGCTGAGCCCCAGGCGGCCCATGGGGACCTCCCTGTGGGGCCCGGTAGCAGCGTCGCGCTGTGGAGCCCCGGAGGGCACAGCTCGGGGGTACCCCCACGCGTGGGCAGGTGGGCAGCGGGACGTGGGCGGGAACGGGGTGGGGAGTGGACTCTGTCCCAAGGCTGAGTGTGCCCCATTTTCCACAGCAGATGACTCCGGACGGACTGGCGAGGTGGAGCCCAAGTCAGACACAGGCCGGCGGGACTCTGCGGTGATTGGAGGTGGCTGCCGGCCTATAACTTCCTAGCGGGGTGATATGAGCCCAGGGGCCCCTTCCCCACTCTGGGCTGGAGAGCTAGGATATAGATAGCGGTGCCCTCTCTAAGAGAAGGCAGCACCAGGGCCCCAGCGCAGCTCAGACTGTGAATATAAAAAGAGGTATAAACCCCAGCATCCTTTCTCCCAGGGGTGCTCATCCTCATGGGGCGAAGGTGGGCACTGGGCTGCTAACGGGGTGGCAGAGGTTCATGCCCACCTAGGGATGCCCCAAAGGAAGGCCTGGTGATCCACTTCTGAAGCCCAGCCCTTGAGGTCCCCAGGGAGCACAGGGGTCCCAAAGAACCAGCGCCCCAGAAGCTGAGGTCCCCCTTAGAGTCAGGTTCCCCATATGCCTGGGCCCCCATTATCCAGGGTCCCCCTGAGGCCAGTGCATACGTGTGCCCCTCATGGTGTGTGATCATGATGTGACGGGGTGTCAGGGCCACCTCTGTGGTGTGTGCCCAGCACTGATAGAGGTCCACGGCCACTCCGATGAGGACAGGACTTGTCCTGTAGCAGTCGGCCAGGGCACAGCCCTGAACAGCCCCTCTACCCCACCCAAACCCCCACCCCTGCTCTGAGTCACAGTCTCTGGGGACTCTTGGGTTCCGAAGTGCAGGGAGAGTCCTCCTGGGGGTGCTGGCACCCCACCCCTCTCAACTCCCCATCTTCCTAATCACTGAAGTTTGGTCCACACAGAAGTCTTGGGGCGGGCATCGGGGAGAGTGGGGCTGGTCCAGGGAAAATCTCGGGGCCTGGGGGTCCTCAGTCCTGATAGGGAAGCAGGGCCGTGAAAAAAGGGTCATTGCTCTTGAAACAGGCTTCTGCGTCTGAGGGACCCCCTCCACGATCCCCAGACGTCTGTCCTCTTGCCACGTCCTCTGTGCACGTGGAGCAGAGCAGTGACCGACCACAACACAGGGTAGGCCTCCCCCGGCGCAGGGGCCCATGCCCTGGGCCTCAGCCAGGAAGCAGGCAGGTCCCCCTCCACCGGAAAGTCGGCCCGGTTCCAACAGAGAGTGGAGAGAACGGAGCCTTTCCACTGCAGGGTCAGCCTGCAGGCTCCAGACTCCACACAGGGGGTCTCTGCAGCAGAGCATCTGGATCTGCAGGACCACACTCAGGGGGACTCTTTCAGACCTCCACAGGCCCCCCTCTGAGGTGTTGCCTCATCCAAGCTGCGCAATTCTGAAGCCCCCTCGTAGGTATGAGAAAATGCATAGGATTCTCTACTGTAGGAGGCTTCAGGGGGCCTGGGGTGCGGGCGGGGGGCTGTACTTTTCAAAGGAGGCAGGTGTGTCTGCTTACCTATGAGCCCTGCTGCTTGTGGGGAGGCACCTGGACACCACAGCTGGTGCAGTCAATGAGACCCCTCCACCCACGACTGGCAGGTCCCGAGCTGCCTGGACCAAGTTCACAGAACTCAGAGAAGCCCAAATCTCAGCACCAAGCCAGACTCCTTGAGCCTTGATGGTCCCAGCCTCGGAGTTGGTTGGTGGCGGCGGTGGTGGTGATGGTGGTGGTGGAGGGCGGGCTTCCACTCATGGTGACCTGTGGACAGCAGACCCAGTCACTGCCCAGGGCCTCGAAGTCCACTGAGGTGACCACTGTGTGTGAGTGGCTTCCAACCCACACACCTCCCAGAACCAGACCCGTCCATGTTCCCTGTGACCCACAGCTGTGTGGGGGCCGATTTTCGCAAGTGGGTCACCAGGGCTTTCTCCCAGGCTCAGCAGAACAGGAAGAAGGTCACGTCCCTTGCACTGTGGGCAAAGCTGACCTCACAGTGTCCACCTGGGCAGAGGCTGCCTTCGGGTCCTGACTCTCCTAATCTTCCCTCTCCAGGTGTGGTCGCTGTGGTCATCTTCGTCCTACTGTGCATCACGGCTGTGGCCACACGCCTGTACCAGCAGAAGAACTTGTACCCAAACGAGGAGACAAAGTGGCCAGAGGTGCAGGACCCTCCTGAGGGTGTGCGCAGAGGCGACGTCCGTGCACAGGGTGCTGCTGGCGGGAGTCAGAAGGAGGACTTCTTCTGATGGATGACGGCCATGCTGTGAATGCCCGTGCTGCTGCCTGGTTCTGGAGAGCTGAGGTTCTCCTGGAGCCTGTGACGATGGCACCAAAGTCATAGTGCTGCACAGACCCACCGCCCAGAGACACCGAGAGCCTCCGAGTGTCACCAGGCAATGGATCCTGTCGCCATCCCTGTCCGTTTCTAAGACACAGCTGTCACCAGAAGCTGAGGTCTCACTCGCTGAGCGATGGGCCGTGGGCTCTGCAGGGAGACGTGCTGTGAAGCTCGGTGAGCCTTGGCCCAGTGTTGACACCTGCGCCTGCTGTGGACAGAACTAAGCACCTTCTTCATCGTATCTGTTGAGTACACTATCTCCTCCTGAGCCATAACCCAGTGGCCAAAAATAAACAGCCTTTCTGCCTTGTTCCCTTTGCTCGTCGATGCAGAGCGCTGTGAGCGTCTCTGAAAGGGTTCTCCTGGTGGCCCATTGATTCCCATTCAGATGTCCTTGCTCAGTTTGGACACATGGTGAGCCAGAGAAGCCACAGGTCACAGCACTGGGAAGGTGCAGACCTGACAGCACTGGGCATTTTGCCCTGACCTTGCCGCCCCTGTGTCATCCTGCCCCTGTAGACACTCAGCACTGTCCGGCTTATGCTGGACTCGGACAATTTGTCCCGAACGCCAGACTTGTGGAGCAGATGGAGCCACACACCCTGTTTCCACAGACATTTGTATTTCCCTCTGCAACCCTTGAGTAACACACGGTAGCAACTCTCTTTCCCTGAATTCTTGGTGAGAATGTCAGCCTGCTGCTTCTGTTGTTTGACTTATTTCCCCTCCCGTGGGTTCGCTGGGGCTCTCTGCCCCGTGAGAGCTTCTTTCTGGCCTGTGAGGGCAGCCAACCTCCGAGTGGCGGTCCTTGGGTGATAGCAACTGCTGGGGGTGCACACCAGCCTCCAAGTGGTGGCCCCTGGGTGATAGCAAGGTGCTTGGGGCGCACACCCCCTGTGCTTTTCCAGAAAGTGCTGCGGCTGCCCCCCCCCCACTACCCGCGCTGCCCCTGGGCAACCAGAACAGCCCTAAACTCCACCTTCTAGCCCCAATTCCAGACCCCTGGGCCCAGTTCTCCAAAAGTTCCCTGAACCAGTGCATTACCTGGGCCCCTCTCCTTAGAGTTCAGTCCAGGAGAGCAGAGGCTGGAGGTGGCAGAGTGCTCATCATGAACGTAGGAGTGCCGGCTCTTGGGCAGCCCCCAGGGGCCACCACATGTACCAAGCCAGGGTGCTGAGTGTGTCCACAGTGACAAGGTGGAGACGTGGATTCTGTGCTGCTCTCTCCTGTCCATTTCACATCAATTCTTTCCACTTTAGACATGGGGAAACACATCGCTCTGTCTTAATCTGTCTAAAAGGTCATCCCTTCTTACCATGCTGGGCTCCCCTCAAGTGTTCTGTAAATTGGAAGATCCCCCTCAGCACAGTAACTGGAAAAGGCCAGCTCTGGGGCACAGTCCCCAGATTTTCCCTGAGAGGCATGGTTTACCTAGAGAGGGACTCAGCAGAGACATAGTGGCTGTTCCTCTTTTTTCACGCAGAGCTGGCACAAATGGCCTCAAGACATCACAGCAGCTTCTACAGCAGTCTGTTGGGTTGAAAGGAGGGTGTGCACAGGTGGCTGGCGAGGCCAAGTGGCCACTGCCCATCACTGCCCACCTCCCTTGGAGGCTGGAATGTTGCACCCAAATCTCCTGGACATCCCCAGCAGCCGCTGCCCTGACCCAATTTGTAAAGCTTACCCTCCAGTTTGTTAATAGAACAGGATTTAAAAACAAAGCCAGGACTATATTTTAAGAGGATGTCTATGGCATGTGGACACGGTGAGCATGGGGTTTCACAGACAGCAGTGTCGCTGTGGAGACTTGCCACTGACAGGTGTGTCTGTGCACACCTCATGGGGCGGCCTGGGCTGCTGTTGCTCATACCCCCTGAGTTATTTTTCAATGGCTCAGGTGAAAAGCAAGAGGAAATTGGGGTTCATTTATTGATTGTTACCCGTAACAGAGCATGCAGGGTGCTCACCTTTCCCGATGTCAGGATCGAGAGAGCACAAATGTATTCTCCTACAAGCTTATATAGTCTTGGGCCCAGCAAGTCCCGGCAAGCACCTACATAACAGAATGGGCAGTAAAGAGTTTCAGTCTCAGAAACCCACAGAGGCAGTTCTTTTCTGGCCAATAGGGTTGCTATGAGTCAGCATCGACTCTAGGGCAGTGAGTTTGGTTTTTTGTCTGAGGTAAAGCCTTGGATAGCAGCAGGACTAGACTTGAGTCTCTGGGACCCCAGAGGGACAGAGGGGTACTTACAACTCTAAAGAATTAAGACAGCTCAGCAGCAGGGCTCTGCACCTCTGAGGCCACCCCAACAGGTATTACACAAGAGCCACTTAGCAGCAGAAAGCACGTCAGCCACCCAGCCTCCTGGAGCCCGTTCCCCTCCAGCCAGGAACCTTAAGACCAACGCTCCAGACTCATGCTGGGCTTGAGCTTGAGTGTGCTGGCACTTGAGTCCTTGGGGTGCTGGTCAAGTATGCTGACTTGGCTAGGCTGAGTGACCATCCCAGAATTCCATGGTTACTATTTCCAGTTGGGAGGCTCTGAGGGAGATTACCTCCTGCTACTATGAAGGAGTCAGGGTTGGGGTAGGCTTAGGGGTAGGGGTAGGGGTGAGGCTAAGGGTTAGGGATAAGGGTAGAGGTATGGGTAGAGATGCAGCCACAGTGTCCATCCATCTTGTGGCTGAAGCCATGGGCTCAGGCACAGGAATAAATGTGAGGATGGCGCAGGACCAGGTAGTGTCTCACTCTGCTTTACAAAAGGTTGGACCCGACTCAATGACACCTAACAATAACAGTTGAGTAAAAGCCAAATATTCACGTTAAATCCCTCAATCGATATATATTCCTACTGGTTTGCATTGACTTGTGTCCCTCTACACCCCCACCATTCCCACCCCAATGATCTCTTGGAGTTGTAGCCCTGTGCCTATGAATGTGAGCTCACGTGGGGTCCCAGGCTCTCCCTGCAGAGTGAGTGGGTCAGAAAGCTGTTCCTGGGCAGGGTGGGTCCTAGTCCTGTGCTCTCGATGGCGACAGCATGTGCACAGCGGAGCTGCTCCCTGGGCTTTCCAAGGTGATGACCTTTCAGAAGAGGACAAGCCCTGTCTTCTGAGGCGCCTCTGGTACATTTGAACCACCAGTCTGGAAGCCCACCTAAGTTCACGCCACCAAGGACCTCCAGTTTGTCGTAGGACGGGAGCACAGACCACCGACAGGCCCACACAGAGAGAAGTGCTGTGTGAGCACACACCTGTCAGCCCGTGGACAGCAACCTTGACCAGGATCCACCAGGAGTTGGGGGAGAGGCAGAGAGGTTTGTCTCCCGCAGCCTCCAGAGGTGTCAGCATTGACCTGCTACCTGTTTTGAATATCTAACCTCCAGAAACTGTGAGATGATGTGTTAGTTTGGGTTGACTAGAGAAACAAATCCAGAGACACTCATATGTGTAAGAGAGAGCTTTCTGAATTAACAGAATTGATAGATCTCTGGCAAACCTAACCAAAGAAAGGAAGGAACAAACGACATTTGCAACGATGAGGGATGAAACAGGGGACATTACAATGGACCCTAATGAAATTAAAAGAATAATTACACAGTAC